ATTATTAAATTCTCTTTTAATAAATACCTTTTAAATTTATTTATTATTAATTTTATATTAAAAAATAATAAATATATTGTATAGTGTATTGAATAAAAATATATATCAATAATTATCTTTTTATTTTACCATTATTTTAAAATATAATTACAATATATATTAAATAAAAAAATTTTATTTAAGTGGTGATTAACTAATGATAAGTATGATATCTTATCAATAAATTATGACATTTCTAATTTATTGAACAAATAAAAATAGACCTATTAAGCATTTGGGCCTTTGGGTCCAGTGACATCAGATTATGTATAAATGCATTCCCTCACTCTTAAGGTAACGGTTCGAATCCAACACCCTGTGAATTTGTTAAAAAAAAAAATAAAAAAAAAAATAGACCTATTAAAGTTGGACAGAAAAAATAAAAGAACCGGTCTATGCATCATTACCCTTATGTACTATAGATACTTTCTTGATAATTGCCTACTCATTTAATTGTTTTAGGTAATAAATTTTTTTTTTAATTTAACTCTTTTCTTTTCTTAAATCCCTTATCACTCAATTAAAGATTTAAAATTGAAATCTGTTAACTTAGAATATTAGGCTTAATCAATTGAGTTACCCCTTTAAGGGTAAACTCTTTATCATTATCATATCAATATCTTCTACTAAACGTATAAGTATTTGGTATAATATTTTCATTATAAAGGCATTATATAACTTTTAAAAAATAATTTAATTTACAATAAGAGTATTCTATTGGCTTAAATATTCTAAAAGAAGGTGAATTGGAGTTTTCAAAAATATATATATTTTTTTACAACCACTAAATGAAAAACAAAGAGAGAAGAGAAACAAAGCTTGCACAATTGATTTTATAGAAGTTTGACTTAATTACTTAGCACCTAATCTTCTACCTTGTTTTACTCACAAAGGATTTTCTTAACACTCTTCATTAGTGTTCAAGAGTAGTTTAAAGGAGCTATCCAATTTTTTTACAATGTGTTTTTCACTTAAATACTCCCTGTTGATTTAATGTACTCCAAGAGGGGGGTGAATTGGAGTTCCAAAAATTCTCTCCTTTTTGCAACCACAAAACCAAAATTAAAGAGAGTAGAGAAGAAGAGCTTGCTTAATGATTAATAGAGATTTGGTCCAACCACTTGAAGCCTAGTCCTCTACCTTGACTTCACTCACCAAGGATTTCCTCCACACTCTCCACTAACAACAACAAAGGTGGCTTAAAGGAGCCACTTAATCCTTTTACAAGAATAAGGGTGTTTCTCTCAAATCTCACCCATTTACAAGATAAACCCCAAAGATCCTCTCTACAGATCACTCTTAAAGGAATCAACACACCCCCAAGATCACTCACTAATAGCACAAGAAGAGGATTACAAATAAAGATCTCTCAAAGATCAAAATCTCAAGTTAAAGCACAAGTTGGTAGGTAAATATATGCAATACAATGCTTTCTAAACTTGTTCATATTTGTTACCAACCATATTTATAGCCCCTTGCTCGAAAATAGCCGTTTCTAACCGTTGGGGGTCATTAAATGCTCTGCAAGACGCATGGCTTGAGTTGCAAAACTGTCAGGAGAGCCGGTTTAACTTCCTAGAGCCGCTCTGCACAGCCGGCTCACCATTTCTGCAGCCGGCTTTGCGAGATTCCTGCACATTCTGTTTTCCTCGAGAGCCGGCTGCAAGACTTTGAGCCGGCTTTGGAACTCCGACTTTAAATACATTAAATATTCTTCAAAAGAATCGACCGTTGTGCATTAAATGTGCCTTCATAGCCAGCTATAAAGTTGGAGCCGGCTCTGCTTCCATTTTCCGCACGTGCCAACACAACAGTTGAATTTCTGACTCGTAGAGCTGGCTCAACAAAATTTGCAGCCGGCTCTCTGCACTTTTGCTTCCCAAAGTCGGCTGCAATTTCTTAAGCCGGCTCTCTGCATATTTTTACCCTTTGAGCCCTTTTTAATGCAATCTCATTTTGCTTACTTTGCAGTATATTGGCAATTTAATTATACACTTAAATAAATCAATTAGTCACTCAAATGTATTTTGTAATAATCAAAATCTTAGGTACAACAATCTGCCCCTTTTTGTTGATGACAAAACACTTGGATCATAAAGCATATATACTTCAATATTAACCTCAAAATTTCAGCATACTTTCTCCCCCTTTTTGTCATTCATAAAAAAGTATATAAACATAAGCAATAAACTCCCCCTTAATTCATGCGATCAACCTTTAAAGCATCAAGAGTATGTAATGAATATAATCATCAATCATCATCAATATAGACAACCAAAGTCATGAATACAGTCATCAACCAATAAACTCCCCCTCAATAAGAGCATATTATCATCAAAATCATAAACAATCATTCACAAAGCATGATAACACAAGTGATGTCATTTCCATTCATAAAACAAGATAAAAAGGTTCAAGACATATCCATAGTCAAATAAAACATAAAATGCATAACCCTAAGATGTCCATCCTAAAGATTAGCCAAACTAAAGAAATATCAAGTCAGGTGGCATCAGGTGGGGGTGGAGGAAAAAAATGGTTAACAAGCCGATCAAGCTTTCCTTCCACGTTATTCATTCTTCCTCTCATTTCTATCCGGAAACCATAAAAGTCGGTGTGCAGCTATCGCATCTCATTTATCATTACCTCCATGGTTTCGCGATTAGTCCTTTGCATTGAGGCTTGAAATGGTCTTGGACTATCACCTCCATGTTCTTCTTCCCCTTGTTTTGCCATTTCTTGATCTCCATCACCTTCTTCTTCATCACTTTGCTGTTCCATTGCTTGATCCCCTTTCTTCCTCCAGCTACCATTCCGAAACTCATATTGCATATTCTCAAAGGAAGCTTTATTGAGTGTAGTCCCACTTTGAGCCTTTCCAAGCATAAAGGGTGTAAGATCAATATTGTTCCTCTTCACCAATCTAGTAATTAAAGCACCATGAGGAAGACCCATGTTTGATAAATAATTCTTGATTAGGTTCCAGTAAATGAATCTTCCAAGATTCAACCTCTTCCTTTTGAGAAGATAATCAAACCATAAGAGATCACCACTAAATACAATAGATTTGGAACCCTTTCTCTGAGCAAGAATGCGACTAATAATCCACTGTAATGCTCTATGTTCTGGTGTAAGAAATCCCACATTAATTTGTCAAACAGTACAATTTGGGGCAATTGTGGCTCTAACTTCAGATATATTTACACCTTCAAACTGCTCATTTCCTCCTTCAGGTATTTCTAATGTAGCACAAATTTCTTTTGGTGAAAACTAAAATGATATCCCAGAAACCATGGTGCGGCATGTATTCTTTTTTGGTTTCAAATTAGCATAAAACTAATGAACTCATGATACACAGGCTCCTTAATTTCTAAATAATTTATCCACTCAATATCTCTAAATATCTGTTCAACAAGCATATCTCCTTGAGGGAATTGACTAAACTTCACACAATTGCATGGCAGCATAGCCAAGTTTTTGACAAAATTATAGCGATTAATGGCATCATCATCCACAAACAGAACATTATCAACGAGGTTACCTTCTTCTTGGGCTTGGCCACCGGCACTAGAACTCCCAATCTGTTTCCTCTTGCTTCCGCCTCTTCTTGAAGCCATGAGAGAGAGAACTCAGCAAATCCCACACAAATTGGAGTGAAAAGCTTGAGGTTTTGTGTTGGGTAGGTAAGGATTTGAAAATATTTGAGTATTTGAGGGATGGGTTTTGGTAGATTTTGAGAGATTTTGGTATTTGGGAGGGTGAATGGCGAGTTTTGGGAGAGGGAGGTCCGAAAAATGCCAGATCTGGTGCGAGGAGAGAGAAACCCATGGTTTTAAAAAACAGCATGAGAGCCGGCTCTAGTCCTGGAGCCGGCTTAAGTCTAGAGAGAGAAGAGTCTTGGGTTTTTGGGTTGAGCCGGCTGCAGATTTTGTTAAGCCAGCTCTATTGGCCTTGATTGGGACAAATAGAAAGTTTGGGGCTGTTTTGAAGGGAGTATACCTAATTTGATCTTTCTTCATTTAACCAAGTTTAAATTGAACATCAACTACTAAATTATGCAACTTTAGTCATATATCAATGTATGCATCATCAAATAGCATGAATATAATCAAGGTACACAAATTCTAATAATCAAATTCATTAATTTCAAGAATCATATCAAGCACTAGGAAAGACACATCAAATGGAATCATACTCAACAAGCATATGTATCAAAGAGTGAGCACACATAAACCAATAATTAATAGTCATGCTAATGTGATTATACTTAATGAATAAATGCAATAGGATAAATGATACCAATTTGAGCACATGAGTGGAGCATTCAAAAACAAATTCTCTTTGCACTTTCACTCCAACATTCTTGTTGAGGCATAAGTCTTTATCAAGATCAACTTTATTCTTCTTATGACTTTGCAATCAACTTTACCTACAAAACAAAATTAAGTTTTGATTTTTGGTACCCAAATTTGCTTGGGTCCATGAGAGTTAGTGCTTAAAGTTCCTTTTGGAACCCAAATTTGCTTCACTTTACCTTGAGCTATCCATCTCTTCAAAGGACATACATAGGCAAAGTCTCCATTTGCACCACAACAATAGCAAGTAACATTAGGATGATAGGATTGACTTGCTCTTACAAAAGAATTCTTGAAAGTCTTTTGCTTTTTAGAATAATCAAATCCAATGCCCCCTTTGTCATAAATACTTCTTTGAGATTTTAAGATAGAATCAAATTTTTCTTTGCTCAAAGTAAATTTGGAAATCACATTCTCAAGATCATAAGCTTTTCTCTTTAAAACCTCATTTTCCTTCTTTAAGTCTTCATTTCCTTTCTTTAAATCCTCATTTTCCTTTTTCAAAGCATTATTAGACTCCTCATTCTTTAAAGAAGCAATCTCACCATTTAAAGAAGCATTCTCTTTAACTAA